TCCAATATCTAAGTGGTTGCCACAAAGAAAAGGAAGTCAACCTATTCTCCAAAGTATCTAAAGGCAGGACAAGAAACAATGGATAGAAACTAATCAAGGAGACAACCAACCTAGAACTAAGTGAAATTTCCTGACATAACAATTAATCAGAGGAACAACTTGGCTCCAGCAGTTGTAGGTTCTTCAACACTGGAGGTCTGTAAGAAGAGAGTGGACAACCATTGTCTGAAATAGTATAGGGTTTCCTGCTTAAGCAAGGAGTTGGTATAGAAAACCTCCAAGGCTACTTTCACCTCTGTTATTCTGTGTTTCTTAATGATAAAATTGAGAGTGACATAAGTCTGGCACAATCATGTGAGTTTTGCTTAGCAACTGTGGTGTTTAGCAACAGTTGATGGTCCCAATTGTGGTTGGTAAATGAGGGTTGCCTGTTCAACAGTGGGATAATACTGTAAAAAAATCAATTAATCAAATGATATAAGAATGAAGATGAAGACAGGATCCATGAGTATAAAAGATTAGAACACTAGTTTTAGAACACTTCAAAAATGACAGGATAAAGATGAGACAGCAAAACAAATTTGCAACTGTGAGAAATACTAGTAAAAATAAATATAAATGGCACTAATAAACACAGATGAGTTTCAGGCAATGATTTAGAATGTTTAGTGTTTATTCAAAATGTTCTGGCTATAGAAGATGCTGCCAGACAAGTTGAACTTCCCTGTGACAAAACAACTATTTCAACAGAATATAAAGCTGGATTTGTAAACTTTAGAGACTTTGTGGTTAGCAATTCAGATGACTAGAACATTGCTGGAGACAGACACGTACCCTTAAAAACAGTTCTGACTAAAATGTTCCAGCTCAGTGATAGCATTAAGTAACAACAGACAAAGCACAGTGGGATCTGTCTCTGAACCCACTGCCATGTATCTGGGAAGATGTGCTGAGGGAATATTATCACTTCTATCCATATATCCCATGACATCCATCGAAATATCCTTATAATATAATTTATTTCTGAATAAAAACACACAGGAGTATTAAATAAATATAACCAGATTTTAGGCATATATACACTTTGAGGTAAATTTGTAATCTTCCATAAGATTCTTTTCTAAATGTACATGCTGATAATCATTTTATGGTATCTGACAGTTTCATGTACTGTGGTGCTGGATTATGTGAACAGATAAATTGCCATACACAATGCATAATTATCTTGATATTTTACTTCACATTTTAGTTTCAGAAAATAAAGTGAATGACAAAATACAGAAAAATATAAAAACAATAAGCAATTAAAGCATATTCATAAGAAGCTAAACTAGCAGGAATAATAAAAGTACTATTAGTAATCATTATTAAAAACCCAGTCTCAAATATATGATTAGTTTTTTTAAAAAATGTCTTTATTTGCCATCTAAATCTTGAGGCAGAGGATACTACATACAGGATTCTGACAACATCATCTTATTTTGAACATTTGTATCAAATATGCTCTTGAGATCAATGGTATATATGACAAAATGAAATACCTGTTCATTTTAAAGGATGACTTAAGGGAGGGGAGAATAACTCTCCATTTTAAGTTATGTAAAGTTTTAAAAGGTTAAAATCAGCTCCTTTAACTTTATTCATAACCTGGCAGCTGGTGCAACTGATAAGATTAATGGGCAATTCCACCTATTTGCTGGTTAAAATTCTAGCAGCATTACTGAATACCAGTTGAATTTTCTGAAAAATTTTTAACAGCAGTTAATTAGGGAACTGGGGGCTAAAACATATAAAGAACTAGAATTGGATATGTCTAGTTTAATGAAAAGAGGACTATGGATGACATGATAGAAGTATTCCAATATCTCAGGGGTTGCCACAAAGAAGAGGGAATCAAATTATTCTCCAAAGCACTCGAAGGCAGGGCAAGAAGCAATGGATGGAAACTATCAAAGAGAGAAGCAACCTAAAACTAAGGAGAAATTTCCTGACAGTTAGAACAATTAATTAGTGGAACAACCTGCCTCCAAAAGTTGTGAATGCTCCAACACTGGAAGTTTTTAAGAAAAGACTGGACAACTATTTGTCTGAAATGGTATAGGTTCTCCTGCTTGAGCAGGGAGCTGGACTAGAAGACCTCCAAGGTCCCTTCCAGCTCTGCTCTATTCTATTCTATTCTATTCTATTCTATTCTATTCTATTCTATTCTATTCTATTCTATTCTATTCTATTCTATTCTATTCTATTTATCAAAAATTATTTTAATCACATATAATATAAGCTATTGTATTATGAATAAGAGTTTGTAGATATGAAGCTAGTCATTCAACAAAATGAAAAACCATCTTAGATCGAGAGAAAAGATATATTTGATCTACGGTGTTGCATGAGTGCTACCTGCTTGCTCCCATACTATCCAAAACATCTTTCTACTTTAATTCCAAAATATTATGCAGAACTTTTATCAATATTTATATTGATAAACATTATACCAATATCAAACTAATAGATGTAGTTTTTGTTTACAATTCTGGTGGTTATAATTTTTTCTTTTGCAATACATTTCAAAACAGATGTGCATAAGATCATGTCATTAATGTTTTAAGATAATCTTTAGTTAGTAATGAAGTTGGACTTGGCATAAGCACCTGTAACTCTTGAATGTGTGCCAGGAAAATGAAGTAGTTTGTTATAATCCATTAAAGTATGTTGTTTCAGAATTGTTGGATCATCTATGAAATATAAATAAGCTAACTTATGATATGATAAGAATCCTGTATTTTCTTATATATAGTCCAATTACTAATTGCCTTGTTTTGCAAACTTTCAAAGTTACAATAGTGTAAAAAAATATTTTGTGACCAATCCTTGCATTTACAACTGTTGCAATGTCCCATACTTCTGTAGTGTCCCCATGCTCACGTGGATTGCCATTTGTGTGCCTTCCCCAACCAGCTTGCAACAAGCAGAGTTAAAGAAAACAGAAATAAAGTTGTAAATGGTGATCACATGATGTTTCACTTAACAACTATAGTGACTTGCTTAATGACTGACTAGGAAGTGACATCTTAAGTCCATCATGGTGATATGATTTTTTTGGCTTAGCAACCACATTGCTTAGCAATGGAACTACCAGTCCCAATTGTAGTTGCTAAGCAAAAACTACCTACATTTACATCCCCATTTTTTAGTCTTTTAGGCAAGGTAATCTTTTTCCTGTAAACTATCATTTAAAAGTTCAAAGGGTATCCTCCAGATGCTGCCACTGCTTATTTGATTTGGACACATTCTCAAAGAAAATCATAAATAGAGGAAAAAAATATTTTCGCCAGAAATAAAAACACATGAAAATAAAAAAAAAATTAAGCCATTTTTAATGGGGGGCATACAAATGATCACTTAATTATATTAATTATCACCTAGGGTAGTTTTCCTTTTCATTTTCAAGTACAGCTGACCAAGCCATCCTAAGGTAAAGTATATTTTAAGATAATCTCCTAATTTATTAGTACCTAGCAATTCAAAAGCATACAAATATGAGTAGATAATAAATAGGTATCAATTCAGTGTGAAGATTAACAGCTCTCCATGCTGGCCACGAGACTATGGAAATTGTCTTTGGACAATGCTGGCTTCCTTGGGCAAGAAATGGAGATAAGCACCTTGCCTTGGAGTCAGATATGATTGACAAGGAAACCTTTACCTCCCCCCCCCTAATTTATTAAGGCTCAATAGATGGTAAAATGGGGGGATCTAATCAGAACTCTAATCTAATCAGGAATGGGTTTTTCCTTGGGAGACCGCCAAGGAATATTAGGGTTGTAGCTTGGACTGGAAACTTAAAAACTATCCTGGAAAAATGGAATGGCATTCTCTACTGTTGCCAAGATTACTGCATGGCTATATGCATTACCAGGAATTATGATAGACTCAAAGACGACTTACATTTCTGCTCTCAATGTAAGTATTATAAATGCATTATAGTTATGCTCCCATGTTGAAAGTGGATGCTTATCTGCATTTTGGATTGTGGATATAACAGGTAGTTCAGTGAAAGGCTTTAATTAGGAAGTAATTATAGAATTCATTTGTAATATTGGTGAGTGGAAGAGGATCCATTACATTCTGTGCAGATACCTCTCTTCCATCTCATTATTAAGATTTGATCAAAGGAAGGTTACTATGCGCAATATATTTAATTTCCATTTTACATACTGAACTTTATTTCTAAATGACCATAAAAGTGTGTAGATCACCCAAAATTTCCAGTTAGAGCTCCCAATGATCTTTGCAATACTAAACTCCTGTGCTGTACCCAGGACTGAACAGGGAGCCTCTAAAGCTCATGTCCTATTGATTCTCTCTCCTCTACTTAGACTTTCGACACAGTGGTGTATTCTTTGACCTCTGCAGTTTAACAGCTAACCCATGGGTTAATCATTTTGTTGACTGTGCCTTGAAAAGAAATATAAAGACAAAAGATCTAATCATGGTTTTATTAGCCTGTAACCCACAGCAACCACATAATTAGGCCATATATAAACCTTGCTTTATTAAATTTCGTTTTTGCTCTGCAGCTTTGTCCTGAACTATTTGCAAGAGGATATCATGTCAAATAGCACTAAGGATTCAGCCTTTTGTATTTCTTTGGGGGGGGGAGCGAGGGAGGGGCGGTATATTCTGTTTTCCAGGGCCGTTTTCCATCCTGTCACCAGTTGAAAACCCCACAGGGCGAAGTTAAATAAAAATCAATGCTTCAGCTCGAGCAAGCTATTTCTCTCTACGCTCGCTGTCCTCCCCCCACCCTCTAGCCAGGATTTCCCTGCTCTTTGCTTTTATTTTCGGAAGGGACTGCGATGGAAAAAAAATAATCACGGGGGGTACGGAGAGTAGGTAAACCCGCGAGAGGCTCAGCTTCTCCCCCGTTTTTCCTCTTGGCTCTGCGTGATGTTACTTAATGAATTCATCTCAGCTTTGCTTGCTGTTTCTTTATTGCTCACCTCACTTCATCGCCCGTGCCGCTGCCCTCCGTTCCCTCTTGCTCACCAATCTTCAGCTTGCTGCGGTAGCTTCCAGCCAAGAGGAAAAGGCGCGCTTCTTTCGCCGCCTCGTCAACTCTGTCGTTTTGGAGATGGGTGCCACAGGCGAGCAGAGGCCGAGTGGGCAGCCCGCTTCGTCCTTGAACAGAGCACCGAGAAGGGGAGGAAACGGCAGTGGAGTATGGACAACAAGGGGGAGGGGGGCAAAGCAGCCGCCGCTTGTGCGCGTGCAGTCAGACAGAAGACGCCGCCGACTGCAGCGGGCGACTTCCACCCGAGCATGGAAGCGCGCGTGCGGAGGGGGGACATTGAACAGGCCCTACGGGCACTGTGCTCTTGCTCGCTCAGGAAGACCGAGAAGAGTCTAGCTGACAGACAAAAAACAAAAAGAAAAAACTTATAGTCCAGGAGCTTTATTTACTTCTGTTCTGGGTGTCCCTAGAATTACAGAACAAAAGCAAATATTTAGAAGATAAGGTGACTTCGCTTGATATACTATGTAATCCTAGCTTACCCTTCTGCCTGTGTACCTACTTATTTATATAAAATAATCCTAAACTAAAGTACTCCTGTGGGCTACTAGGTTGTGATCATGACTCATTTTTTCCAGCCTTCCTGAGGCATTGCAAATGTGATGCCAAAGATTAAATTGCGTGCATGTATACGTACAACTTAATGCTTGCTGAGGTTATTTAATAAAAGGAGATCATGTATAGCTGTTGTCCTAGTAATTGGTCTTGTAAATACCCTTGACCCTCGGTCATGTACTGATCAAAAGTACATTTGTGGAAATGTTCTCAAAGGTCTTTTTGTTCCACATGATAAATAGTTGAGAACGGTTTTCAGCGCATACTAGTACTGTAGAATTGAGGCTATTACTACAAATATTGTTATAATAATTGCAGGTAGTTCTCATTTAGCTAGTACTCATTTACTGATCATTGTTACAAGAGTGTTGAAAAAGTAACTTTAGGATCAATCCTTGCATTTATGACCTTGAGATCTGTAAACAAAGGAAAGTTAAGTATGGTAAGATTATAAGCACAGTTCTGGTTTCACTTAGCAACCAGTTTTCTTAATGACTTAGTTGCCAATCCCAACTATGGTTGCTAAATGAGGACTATCTTTACTTTTCTCCAGATTAGTTGCTTCTTACAAGCTCATGTTAAATAACTTTAGTATGAAGACAGAAGATTGGGCTGAGTGTTATAACTGGAGCAATTAGCTAGTGGGCAAGTAATTTAACTTTAATTTGTTGTGTTCAGTGCAAAATAAAATTTCTAATTAGAGTTGGCCATACAATCTGAGTTCCAGTCTTAGTAATATGTTACTGATCAATAACTCACTTCCCTTCCTTTCCCTGAAAAAATGGAAATGCTGAGGGGCTTTGATTATATGAATTTAGTAATATCTGAGGCAATGATAATATTTTCATTTAGCAATATGGTTCCATGTAATTTTGTTCTTCCAGGACTGCCTTTCCAGGAAGAATTTCTACCAGGAAATACCATTTATTGCTGCTTGTCTAATAGCCTACAAGGAAAGAGTTTTGGGATTATGATAGATAGCTCAGTAAAAACCTAATTCTGCATGCAGCTTCTGTGAAAAATGACAAATTTGGAGGTAGTGATCAATAGGAAAGGCATAGAAACCAAAAATGTCTGCAATCTATCTCCTCTTAGCACATTTATTAGGTATAAGAAAACCTTTTGACATCAAGCAGCAGATCCATTACAGAGTGCCTTGTTAAATGATTTGCACAATTCTTAATACTTGTGCTTGTGTATTTGTTTAGAAGGCTTGACAGCTGGGAGAACTATTTTACAACATTCTGAAGTTATATAGCTATAACTTCATACAGTTATGAGTAATTTGATTACATAGGAAGGAAGTTTAACCAAATAAATTTTGGGAAGTTACATTCAGAATACAGGTGTTCTGATCATCTAAGAAACAGTTCAGTAGTGTTAGAAAAAAACACATGGTTTAGAGCCTCATCTCTGAGATCATCAGAAAATTCTGAATTACACAAATGGAGAAAACAGGCAGAAAAAAATGTTTTCTTTAATAATACTGAAATTTAATTCATCCCAAGAAGCTATTTTTTAAAACAACTTACACAGAGTTTTTTAGGATTTTAAAATTAAGAAACATTTCAAAATATCTCTAAATCCAGTTTAATAAGCTGTTAATAACCAAATGCTACCTTTATATGGCCGAGAAATTTATTGGCAGAACATTCGGGAAATAATTGCGAACTCAGAGGTTTTAGACTGAGATGGGAAAACTCCTTTGCCTTGAAGACTGAATTAATTATTGGACTTGATTAATGCATATGCAACCCTCCTCTCATTCTTGTCCTATCTTTTCTATCAATGTTGCTTCAGTTGCCTTCTCTATTCCAATGACCTTACTATCATTACCACTTAGAAATTGACAATCTTAGGCATAACAGAAGGAGGACAAAATCAAGATTCTTCTTTCCTAACAATCCTGTTGACCTTCATTCTTTACTTTTCTACTTTTCCCACCGAGTCCGACTGCTGAGTTTCCATTGGCATTACCAGCAGATCTGTACAGGGGACCACATGACCACCACAGCATGTAAGTGTTACAAAACAGTTTGGACAAGCTGGCTCTCAGCATCCCATTATCACCAGAGATCCCCATTTTTCAATCTCCATAGCAACCTTTGTGTTCTGAGTGCCAACCTTAAGGCCTTCTCTCCCCCCCCCCATTCATCCTATTTATGACTCAGAAGTTACTGGAAAACAAGTAGGAAGCAAAATTATAGTAACACCCTGTTTTTAGGTTTCCCTTATGCATTTGGCTAGGAATGTCAATAAGTGAGTCAAAATTTTTAAAGGGTGGCTAGGATCACCCAAACTTTTTTATGTGTATCACATATGCTATGTATGTACAAAGAGGTTAGGTTTTAATTGCAGAGTTGCAATCACCATCTTGAGTTTTTTGACACCTCCTCCTATTTGGCTGGCAATTTTATTATTCACACATATTAAAATGATACAAATCTGTGTAATTGTGAGTTGCGATTTAATATTTATCACTAAGATAAAAACAGAACAATTAATTTAAAATGTGACATGGTGAACTTGCAACTGTTAGCATTTTTCATTTAAGACCATTTACTAACACTAATTGAATATTATTTTCTTATTCTCATACATTACAGAAACATCCATTGCTACCAAATACTGTATACAAATTTCCTTCATTTACATCCTATATCTGTCTGGATTTAATTCTCAATCTGTAAACAACAACACTAATAAAAATTCAAACAATCATCTGATACATAATATTCTACTTCACAATAGTATAACAATTGTTGAAAAGAAAGACAAAAAATTTGGATAGAGATGTTGCAGTACCTGGGGACAAGATAATAAAAGAGAAAGAACTGGAGAGAATCACAAAATACAAGACCTAGAAATAGAGCAGTTGTAGGAAAAGAAAGCAAAGATACTGTCAATATAATAGTCATATTGATGCAATCACAAAACATTTGGAAGACTACTTAGACTATTGGCGTTGACAAAAGCACCATCAGTCAATTGCAAAAGGCAGCTTTTACTTGAAACAGCTTACATTCTGTGATTTAACTTCATCAAACAATAACATCTGTCTATCCTAGGTCTTTAGGAAGGCCTCAATAAGTGGATAAGAATGCTAAATTCAATCCAAACATCTGGCTGTGTAACCAAGTATAATAATGAGCAGCAGCATCAGAGGCAGGCAAGGTAATGCCAATACTTTTAAAAGTTGTGGAAGACAACTTCATAGTATCACTGGGTTACCTTTCACCTTCTGCTACTATTATCTCTCATAGACATTTGATCTATTAGCCTTTAACCTAGGCTTTTAATATCCTCTTTTGATGTCTTATTTGCTTCTATGGTTATCTCATTTGACTCAGTAATGTTTCTTTTAATATTGGCAGAAAGTAAATAAACTCACATAGAAATTCTATATTTCACTAAATGAATTAGAGCTTGTTCATGACTATATCAACCAACCAACCAATCAATCACTTTCAAAAAGTCATGCCTGTCAGCCCCAACTTATAGTGATGAGGATTGGCTTTTTTCTTCTTACAAGGCTTTTGTATGGTTATCAGTTACCTGCCCTTCTCCCACTAAAATAAATGCTTTGAAAGCCTGGTAATTTCCTTGTTATGTGGCTGTGTCAAGACCATGGAAGAACAACCTCTATTCACGTGGCCAGAAAATGTTGATCAACCAACAGCATCTTTTTCCTGTACCATCATCACTGAAGTCACGGCTCTCAGGGTTTCCAGGAATGGATTATCTAATCTTTCTTTCTTGAAGCGAGAAATCTAAAATATCTCAGAGCTCATGGGATTTCCAAAGGACCAGAAAACTAAGAGATAAAAAGCTGTTAAAATATGAAAGTGCACATTCTGCATTTTTATTAGTTGCGGTTCTTTAATAGTAAAGTATGAGAATGTACTAAGTCCTTCTCCATTTTTCAGCAAAGCTCAAGCTTTGTGCAGTATCAAATATTGCAATGCTAGAAACAGGTTGAGACAGTTAAGGACTGAGTTAGACTGTGTGTGTGTCTGGGGGGAGAGAGATTGTTTAGTGTAGCAGTTAAGGCACTGGGTTAGACTCTCTCTCTCTCTCTCTCTCTCTGTGTGTGTGTGAGAGGGGGGGGGGCTGAGAGGGAGAGAGAGAGAAAGAGATTGTGTTTGGTGTAGCAGTTAAGGCACTGCAATAGACCCCAGGAAACTATAAATTCTAGTCCTGCTTTAGCATGAGTGAGTTTGTACTAGCCATTGTCTTTGAGTCTTAGGAAGAAGGCAAAGATAAGACAGCTGAAAATATTCTGTGTGTGTATACCCAGACACACATACTATTTTGTCAAGGGAAAATGAATGTAATTTTGTAAATACGTAACAAAAAAAAAAAAAAACCCAGAAGCAACAAAGTAAAAATCAATAGAAAATTCTACTTCTTCCTATCTCATCTCCTTAGATGCCAACTGTCTTATGCATAATCATTGGGAAATAAAGAAAGCAGTGAGGATTTCCTTTCCCCAAGATCTTCATTTCTCACCTCAGAAAAGAATCAATTTTGAGGAAATTTTCCTGGAGAGGAAGCAACTATATTTCTCTCCAGCGGTGCCATGTTATAGTTAGCTATAATAAATGATCCAATTATGTATTGATATGCCAATGTATGTAGATCTTGTAATTAGCAAGAGTTGATAATACATTCCATACCCACTAGTACACATGGAGATTCTATTAGATATAAAATGTATCTAGATAATATTTGCATCACTTATTTACTTCCCATCAGTGAAGAAATCACAACTATATAATTGTTTCTATCTAGAGATCTCCTTTACTGGATTTGTATTGTGGATGACAACTTGTTTCATGGGTAATTTAATTCCACTGCTGTTTTATTGGTATTATTGCCATGAAAAAAATGTATTACCTTATACATTATTTTTATTCAATAATCCTATGTTAGATTCACATGGTGAGATTTTCAGGGAGGAAACTGTTTCCTATTGTGTATTTCCCTCTGGGTACAAACTTCCAGCACATCTTTTCTTAAAAGGCTACTATAGAACAATCACTAAACTTCTGTTTAACATAAAACCACTGGAATATGAAGGTTGAAAAAATGAAATAAAGTTTTATTATATTGCATACATTCTTACAAAAAGTATACTAATAACTACTTTTAGATAAA